GCCACCAAGGACGTCCACAACCTGTTCAGCATCAGTCCAGCCAAGGCCACTCTCAGCCCTGTAGATCGCCCCACTCCTGTCTCTGTGGTGTTCCGCTCTCGCCAGGAGTGCTGGATCAGGGACCAGCCTATCTTGAGATGTCAGGTGATTGAACCAAACTATGGCGACGGCGGGGAGGTCATAGCCAGCATTCCTGTCAAGATCACTGTTAAGGCTGTCTTTAGCAAGTAAGTATTGATATGTATATTTGTTTATTTTTTATGTTTTATTTATTTACTAGAAATTGTTGCACTAGAAATTGGTGAAAGATATTATAATATTTTTTCAAAGATATTATTCCATTTTATTTTTTGTTGTACCTCAATCAATTTCTCAGTTGTTAAATATTTTATTTTATAATTATTTTAGATACAACATCTACCCAGTGACAGACATGAACTTTGGAGCTCTCCTGGTGAACAGTAAGAAGTCACGTACTTTCACCATAGAGAACAAGGGAGAGTTTGACTTCAAGTACACTGTGGCTAAGATGGTCAGAGAGAAAGACAAAGAGGTTGCACACAGATCAAGAGGGTAAGAGAAGGGTACTTGACTTCTTTGTTTATGTAGCTGTTGTTCTACCTGTTGAATATGGTTGGAGGATGTGCAATGGGGTTGGGGGTAGGGATGAGTTGTTTTAAGAACAAGGGGATGCAACAAATTGAGTTGTCTTTTTCCTTATCTAAGCAGTTTTTTTTGGGGGGGGAGGTCATTGAAAAAATAGAATTTATTTTTCTTGCACTTTGTAAAAAATTGTATCAATGAATGTAAAAAAGACATATATCTAGGGTACATGTAGTACATGGGAATGAGTTAATAGGCCACTTAATTAAATGGCAAATTACATAGTTAATAATTTTTTTCCAGAGCTGGAAAAGACAAAGATGCCAAGCGTACCAAGTCTAGAGATGGCTCCAGTTCTGGTCGCTCTGTCGTCAAACCTAAGAAAACAGAGTCTGTCAGGTAAAATAGCATGTGACACTTATCCACACACATATACTGCTGATTGAGGTTTACATGAATAGGTTTTGCACGATTATGTGAACCCCATGCTTATCAAGGTTTAAGATCACTTTTCGGGAATTGCTCTATTTTGTGCTTTGTACATCTTATCCTCCAGCCTCACATTTACAAACAAATATTTCACCAGAATGATGTGGCAGGTTATTAACTTTGGCAAAAGAAAATAGAAGATATTTGGTGCATTTTGACCCTTGTATATTTGACTATTTAAAATGAACTGCTTATTTTAGTCAAACCATAGATATACTAGCATGACTCAATATGATTTTATCAGTGCACATATTTCTATAATCCCAGGTATTTTGCTTTTTCTTAAACCACTTTTATGAAGTCTTTCATATCAATTTTGATCTGTTGGCTAGTTCTTGTACTTAACAATGTGTTCTTATCATCTTTCTCTTCTCTCTCACTCTTTCTCTCCCTTTGTGTGTGCATGCTAACAGTAGTGAAGTAGGCAGTCAATACCAAATTAAGCCACAGCCTAAATCAAGGGCATTCTATAGGTAGGCTTATTTAGCTGATTAGTTACCTCAACTATGCATTATTTGCTTTTCATACTTTTTTTTTGCTTTTTTAAATGCTACACCAGAAAAAACATGGTGTGAAATGTCCCCATAAACAACTGGAAATGTTTGTGAAGCATTAGCTGTGACATAATATTATATGTCAGGATGAGACATTCCACAGTGTCAGAAAGAACAATACAATGTATAATCTTTGGCAGCACATTTAGTTAATAACACAGAAACACACTGTGTCTGGAATCCATTCCTATTAATACATTGTGGTCACTTGATGTTTACAGACAGGACCTGGGTGTGGGCGGTGGTGGTCAGTCCCGTCTCATCCTGGGCATGTTCACCATTTTCCCTGCCTATGGCATCATACTGCCCAATGGTCAACAGGTCATCAATGTGGACTGTATAGCTGAACAGCCCGGCAGGTGTGATGAGGTGGGTGGAGAGGTTCATTTAGAATTTTATGAATAAAATAAGATGAAATAAAATATAAAATATGAAATTATTTAAAATTGTTTTCAAAGGCCACAGCACCTAGATACAAAATATTGTAAAATGGTAACAATGTCTTATTTTGGCCATGCATGCATGAAATCCAATATTGTATCTGACTCTAGACACATTTTTCCTTACACTTCATATAACATTTATTTTAGTGTCTGAATATTACAAGTAAATATAACCTCTGTGTTAACAACTGCACCTTATAATGTGAACCACAATTTTCAGTGAGCAGCATTACTATATGTTTATTATTCTTTGACAATTATAGGACATTGCCATTGAAATCAGTGACAAGGACCCCTCTGATAATCCCACGGGCATCCCCTATCGGCTGATGGCAGAGGCCTGCATTCCCTCCATCAACCTGGCTGATGTGGGGTCCATCTTTGAGGAGCACAGGATCTGTAAGAACTTGTCTGTCTGGCAGCACAGTCACCAGGTGAATATTAAATTCAGTGTGTTTCATGCACATTGTTTTGACTGTATGTATAATGGATGTATACACATACTAGTACATGACTTGTATCAGTGTTGTGTATTTGTGCATGTACTCAGGTATGTGAGCATCCATACTTATTGACATGTGAGTGTATTTGACTCACATAATCTATGCAACAGTTGCTGAACAAAAAAAAAAAAAACAAAACATTCATCCAAAAAACATTACAAAAACTTCAATTCATAATGTTGAATTTGATCTCTTGCACTTTTAAATCCTTTTTTATTCTTCCCTCTCACGTTTCAGCTGGAGAGTGGTGGAGTATATGGGGAAGATGAGAACAAGTTTGTGTTCCAGAATGTCATTGTAGGCCGCAAAGCCAGAGCACGCTTCAAGATTACCAATACCAACAAGGTAAGCCCAGTAGGGAATTGATAAATTGATGCTGTTCATACATGTAACAAACTTTGGTATTCTTGGTTGCTGCTGTAGAATTTCATTGTGTGTCAGTTAGTTTAATTGTGTTTAATTCCTGTAGATGATTTTAATCATTAAGGTTGCAATAAATCAAAGTGATAAATCATTGACAGTTCAACATAATCAACTATTGAGACATTTAACAATGACACATTTTGCTCTGTTGAATTAATTTTTTCAAGAATCTATCATGATTGCAATATTTTCCCCTTACCTCAGGTACCATGTGATGTCGCCTTCTCTGTGCGACCAGTGGCAAGCCGCCATAGCTCCAAGCACCAAGATATCTTTGAGGTAGAACCTGTCAGGGGTCAAATCTCAAGTCACAGTCACATGTATGCTACAGTCACATTCACCCCACCATCCATGCAGGCATTTAATGCCATGTTTGAGGCGTCCATTGAGGGCATACCACAACAACAGGCTAAAGGGCGAAACTTGGTGTTTGAGGTGGCAGGTGAAGGCAACCTCCCTCGTATTACTATCATGAAGCCCACAGTGCGCAACAAGAAGGGCCAACCATTGATTTTGTTCAGGAAGATCCTGATTGGACGAAATGAGAGGATGCCATTACTGCTGGTGAATGATGGGACTTTGCCCAGCAAGGTAGGTGTCAATATAGCAGAAGAATCCCGCATAACATTAAAAAGTACTTTTATAGATATAGAAACAGATTTAATGTGATATTAATTCATAATAATAATAATAATAATAAGATTCTTATATGGCGCCTTACATTCTATCTCAAGGCGCCTTTCACTAATGGCTAATATACTAAAATCATTAAAATGACTACAATATTTTAATCATAAACCCTCATTGGAAACCATTTAAAATTTACACTACTAAAAATCAATCTAATTTAAAAAAAAAAAAAAAAAAAAAAAAAAAAAAAAAAAAAAAAAAAAAAAAAAAAAAAAAAAAAAAAACAATATATATATTAAAAAAAAATCTAAGAGATATAGACAGAATTAAAAAAGTGGGTCTTTAAAAGAGATTTAAAATTGTCAAAGTCTTCTGTTTTCCTAATAAAATTTGGAAGACCATTCAACACTCTTGGGGCGTAGATTATAAAAGCACGATCTCCATAACTTTTTAGGCACCCCTTCTCTAAAACAGAATGTTCTAAAATAAAATCATTCTCAGTATTAAAACGTGTGGACCGCCGTGGTAAGTTAAAACAGATAAGATCAGATAAATATAATGGTCCTTGTGAATGGATCGCCTTAAAAATAATACAGAGTACTTTAAAATCAATCCTCTGCTTCACAGGCAGCCAGTGTAATTCTTTCAGAATGGGAGTGATATGGTGTGTACTATTGTACTTAATTTGACAAACCAGTCTTGCAGCTGAGTTTTGAATAACTTGTAACTTTTTAATCTGATAGTCACAAATACCAAAGAGGAGACTATTGCAGTATTCATAAATGTTTGGAGGCAAAAAGATAATAATAGATAATAGTTAACCTAGACTCGGTGTATTTATTACATGAACAAAACATTTATTAGCACTTCAGTTGATGTAATATTTAAAAAGAATGGCACATAATATGGAAACTAATATCTATTAACTAATGAAGTTGAATATAAAAATAATTTTTTCACCCCAGGTTGACATAGATCTTGTGGACCCAGATGGTTGCTTCTCCATGAAGCCTACAGGAAACACCAGGGCCATCATGGCTGATGGAGAAGATGGTAAGGCTACAGTGACTATTTTTCCTTTTGAAGTCAAGATAAGGAAGAGTAAATAAAACCTTAAGATTTGGATTGGGATGATCATCCTTAACCTAGAAACAATGTCTGTAATCTGTGTATTATGAGTATGTTCCTTGATATATGTAATTATAAGAAAGAATGTGATTTTTTAAATATTTTTTTTTTAATATAATATTTTATTATAGTCTATGCAATGAAGTTTAAGAGTCCATCATTGTGCAGTTTTACAGTCAACAAAATTATGAACAGCAATTATTACCAGTTATTATTTATATCATCAGATGGTCTAAAGAGGCCTCACACAGCCTCTGTGGTGGTCAATGTAGAGGAGAGTGCCTCCTTTGATGTCATCTTCAAGCCTACCCTGGCCCAGCGGTCAACTGCCCATGTCAGACTGGCCGTGGTGGACAACCAGTACGAGGATTCGGTCATTCAGCTGGTTGGGGAGGGATATGAGGATGACATCACTCTGGATAACATCCACAGCGTGGTGATGCCTGTGGACCCAGAGAAAGAGGAAGGCAATATGGCTGAAGAGGATGTAGAGGGTAAGTTATTATACAGGGGGCATATAACAAATTCTATATATCTGAGACCTTGTACATAGAACCTTTATGAAATAAAGAAGTGTTTTGATAAAATTTTGATATTAAATGTTGGGTGTAATTAGGTAAGAAGTGTATTTTGACTAATTAAAATACTTAACCCAACTCTGTTACTCTAAATGACCCATTACTTTTTTTGCTGTCTAGCTGCCAAGTCCAATCATGTCCACTTTGGCGACTGCTACATCAACGAGCCAAGAACCTTGACCTTCACAATGACCAACCACTCCAAGACTGACTGTGTTAGGTTCCAGTGGCCAGACCATGACCAACTGACCTTCTCACCTAAAGTTGGTCATCTCCACGCTGGCGTGTCCAAGGACATGACAGTAACATTCAAAACAGGAGAGCCCAAATCTCTTAATGAGTCCCCAGTACCATGCAGGGTGACCAAGGTGACCTTTGACAAGCCAGTCAACCAGGTAAGGGTTCAAGTTTTGTGAAGGTTTTTAGATCTCAGTCAAAAAAGGATTTACAAGTTGTCTGTGCACAGTTGTGATAAGTTTTAATTAGTCCATATCACAGTAATGGTTTTTCTGCAACAAGGCATTAATTGTGTGTATATTCCGGTATAACTGAAGAAAATTATCAGAGTAATTGTTTCTTTATTGATTACTTAGTAGTTTGCATGGCTGGTTTTGCTATAGAAAAAAGATACAAAATCATTAGCATATGCTAATCTTTTATGCTCTAGTGTAGAGTGTGTCTATTTTCTCTATAGCTCTAGTGTCTATTTTTCAAATTGCAATCTTAACCTTGTTGTCCACATTCCAGGTATCAGACTGGGATGACCGGCTCAGGACAGTAAAGTGGGTGGACGTGACCCCTCCACCCCCAGCTCAGCCAGTAGAGCCTGCACCCCCAGCTCCACCAGAGAAGGGCCAGCCTAAACCCCAGACCCCTGTCCCCACACTACCACCTGTCCCTGCCTTCACACCACGACCAGCCAAGAAGAAAGTGATTGAAACCGAACCAGAGCCTGCCTTCACTGAGGTTCCTGACTCCTCACGCACTGTAGACATGTTGGTGTCTGCGAACTCGGACTTCTGTAAGGTCAAGTGTAAACTGGACTCCATCAAGTTTAAGGACACGCTCATGTTCCAGACCAGAGTTTATGAGTAAGTAGTAAACATCGTTAAAAATGTAGTACACTTATGGACAAGTGATATGCTTGTTATCTGTCACAGAGGTGTTAATATTGTTGCAGATATTCTAGTGGACCTTTTATAATTTTTTCTCTTTTTATTAAATATGCCATTTTGCTCTTTTGTTTTCCATTTAAATAATTTTTCTGTTTGAATTTGTTATATTTCACAGGCATTGAACTACATTATTTTATGAATATAATTTATTATTGGTATAATATATTACTGTTTTATATCTTACCCTCTTCTACATTATCTTCCTCTTCCTCATCCAGGTTTCAGATGAACAACAAAGGCAGCGTCCAGCTGGACTACAATTGGCAGGTGGTCATGGAGAACTTCTCGCCCATGGCACGCTCCGTCACATTCGCCACAGATCCTGACCGCCCTGAGTCCCGCGCCAGCTCAGTGACTAGCTACATCAGTGACATAGGAACTGGTTACATTCCATACTCCATTGAGCCAGAGTGTGGCACCATTGCTGCTGGGAAGAAAGCAACATTCAAGGTCAAGTTTTCTCCTCTTGACGTGCATGAGTTTGAAGCTAGACTTATCTGCAGGTGAGTGCTGGCAATATTTATGAATTGAATATCTACATGCAGGACAGCATCTTAACTACAAACTGTTAGATTGTATTAAGATAAATGTGATACGTTCAGTGCATTTATACTTTCTGGCATTGGTAAAGTGAACAAGGCCATGACTGAAATTGGACTTCTTTTGTTATGCAGCTTTATGCTTTCCAGAGTTAGATTGTGATTCAATCCTGTTATGCTGTGTACAATATTGTAAATTAATCATTACCTTTTCCCTATTTTCATCATAAGTAAGGAAGCAATAACCATGGAAGTTTTACATTAAGATCCTCACCTTGATGCCTGAAGATTTTTTTAATGCTGTATATGTTCAAGTTGGGCATGGGATTCTTAGTGAATGCACATTACAATTCAGTTTTCTCACCTTTATTTTATATCCACAGTGTTCCTAACCTAGAGGAGGGCAAGCAGGGTCCAGTGATAGCAGTGAAGGGGCGCAGTCTCATGCCCTACTGCCACTTTGAACTAGAGGACTCGGACTACATCAGCAATGCCAGGAGGAACCCTGAACTCCCTGGCCCCAATGGTGCCCCCTCCGGCACCTCGCTTGACCCCAATACCAGGGTCATTGAGTTCCATTCCATTGGTGTGGGTGTCAAGAATACAAGGTAATTCTATGCTGATTGATGTAAGAAATTTGAACAGTTGTGATATCATTTAATAAGATTTTTCCGTTGGGATTTACATTGAAATTCAAGGGGTTTAAGAGTATGAACTGCTTGTGATATTTAGAATTTTTACTGCAAGTATTGCCTGGGCCTGTATATGTGACATATCAATCAAATGTATTAGATATGATTAGTTTCATTGATATTTTCAATGCTTTTAATGTTAGTTGTTTTATTTATTTATTTATTTTTTGTTAGATTATTTTGTAGACTTCTGTAATATGATAAATAAATAGAACTTTAAACTTATGTTAGTAACTTTAACAAAATGATAATTTTGGTAATATTCCATTTTCTTTCAGGAAATTCTTCATTGTGAATCCCACAAATGCCACATTCACATTTACGTGGGTGAATGAAGATGCCCAGGATCCCAAGAAGGTCCCTGTGTTCAACTGCCTGGTGCCCAAGGGCAGTGTCAGGAGTGGAAAGAAACATGAGGTGGGGGAATTTGTTCACATTTTAAAAATGATTTCTTGGTTATAATCTCAAATGATTTTGTGTCTGTTCAAAAAAAAAATTAAGTTTTTTAAAAGCTGTTTGTCATACAGAAAGGATTCTCCTTTTGTATCTCAAGTAGATCCATATTAATTTATACATATCAAGTCAACATATCTCAATCTATAGGTTTATTCCCTTGATTGAAGATAAGCAGAAAATGTGAGCTCACAGTATAATTCTGTGATAGCTGAATTTGATTTCAATTTCAGATTACATTTGACTTCATCCCTAATGAACTGGATGTGGTGGAATCCTTCTGGAGGTTTATAATCCCAGAACATAGTATTTCCATCCCCTTCCTGCTGGCTGGCTTCACCAAGGAGCCCAGCATCTCCCTGGACAGGTCTCACCTCAACTACAAGGCACTGCTCATAGGTAAATGCAGTATGAATAAAAAATTCTGAAAAAAATTTCATAAGAACCAGTGCAACTAGCTATTAGTACTCCCTGTCTGTGATATGGTGTGTGGGCAGATCATATTAGTAATAAATGTTTTGAATTCTTGACTTGTTAAATGAAAGAGATTTTCTTTATTTTGTGGATATCACTATTTTTAGATGAAAAGAAATTAATCAAGAAATGCTTTTTGGATAGAAAATTGTTCAAAAGTTTGTTAACAAATAAATAAGTTATAATATATTGTGTTTGGATGATTAATTATACTTAAAACTTTAAGTATTGAGTTTTGAATACAAGTCTGTTTTTCAAAATCTTTGTAATACTGACATTCTTAGAAAACAAAATGTTTAGTAATAGCAATATATATGATTTTCTCATGGACTCACTTGTATTCTCTACACAGGGCATGAAGCCATAGAGACAGTGTACATGCTGAACAATGAGGACACAGCATTCAAGTTTGACTTTGTGGAGGAGTCGTGTCACTCAGCGGGTTATGCCTCTCATCTCAGAGTGGAACCCATGAGTGGCTGGATACAACCTGGGGACAGGTGAGATCTGCTTCGTTTAGCTGTTATTATTTTTTTTTCATGGCTTAATGTAATATAATCATGATACCCATTCGTGGTGCCCATTGGTCAGTAGTGTAGAGCATTATCAATGATATTACTCTCGACTTAAAGCATGAACATTGACATTAATAGATAGGTATAGAAAGAAAAAAGAATAATTTGTAAAGTATTCCAAAAGTATAAATACTGAAAGGCACTGAGCTAGAAGTTTCAAGTCAATTCTTATTTATCAAACTTATTCATTGTCATTATTTACTTTTATTTATTTTTCACATGATATCTAGCACCCAAAAGCATATTTTCAAAAAGGGGATCCTAGCTCTATTTTAAAAAATGTTCTGAGATGATAGGGCATATAAGTATATTCTGGCCTTATTATGAATGTTATTTATTAATAATAATAATTAATTTAAAATGTATCCCCTAGGCTCCCTGTCAACCTGTTCTTTACCCCTACCAATGATAAGGAGGTCAACTTTAATGTGATCTGCAATGTGAAGCGCAAGACGTTTCCCATTACACTCAATGTGAAAGCAGAGGGCTACACCATGAGCTGCACTCTGATGTGTGAGGACTCCTCTGGGAACAAAGTGGAACTCACATCAAATGGCCTCAATGAGATCAACTTTGGAGAGGTAGGGGTTTGGTTAAAATGAAATACTCTTTACCTTACAGTTTTATTTATTTATTTATCTATTTTTTGCTGCACTTTGTTCACCATGTCTGCAGGTATAAACAATTGTTCCCCTTAAGAAGAGAGGGTAGAGTTTCGGTTTATCCATTGTGTTGGTTTCATTGTTTGTGTGTGTGTGTGTGTGCGTGTATGCGTATGTGTGTGAAAGAGAGAGAGAGAGAGAGAAGAATAAATAGCCACATGAATGTGTTTTCATGTTTGGATAGGAGGCCATGATGCACATACTTGTAAGGGGGGGGGAGTGTGTGAACATGTAGATGTATAATACATCTCACCATGGTATCATGATATCTCCCAGCATTATAACATAGCAATTACCTGTCTGCTGTCTTCAGGTTGAAGTCAATGAGCAGTCAGTCCGCAACCTGTTCATCATCAACCACGGCAAGTTCAACTTCGACTACAAGTGGGAGATCAATGAGAGGAGCAGCAAGGGGCACAAGATGGTGTCCGTCACACCAGATGTGGGCGGAGTCATGTTTGGAGAGAAACAGAAGTGTGTCCTGTCATTCTGTCCACCTACCAGTACTTCGCTAAGAGGATGTGAACTCATCTTGAGGGTAAGAAAGGCTGGATGTTTCTGTTATTTTATTTGACGAGTACGTAATGGAGTAGACTGTCAAAATTAGAAATCTCTGACAGTTACAACTAAGAAGCAAACCAGTTTGATAGTGATTTATTATCTGTTGTAAAAAATTATTGTGCATCTCAACTTAATCTAAGACTACTAATGTGAGAAATGCTCATTTGAAATATGGAAACTAGAGCAGTGATATCAGATCTGTATTAAAATGATTTGATGTCTGCTTGGTAAAAGGCAAGTGAGTTTTTCTGATTTCAAAAAATTATTATTTAATCATGCTTTTTGGTGTTTTCAGATCTCCAATGGCCCCAGCTACACCATCAATGTAGTAGGCTATGGCAGACCTCCTGGCCTGCACTTCAGTTTCCACACACACAACTTTGGCCCCTGCTTCATCTATCGTCCAGGCATGCCAAAACTGACCACCACACTTAAAGTGACCAACAAAGACACCAAGGATATAAGGTCAGTACCATATGGCTGATGTGACAAGGATTTTATACCACAACAGATTCCTCATAATTCGGACTGACAAATTTGTTAGTTACCTGGAGAATGATCACGAGTCTTAGCTAATTTCAAAAAGAAAAAAATTTGTATCACAAGGTTTGTTCAATAAAAGTGTAAGAAGGAATAATTATTTCTGGTATTCTATAGCCTGAGATAATTATTCAGAGGGATAGCAATATTAGTATTGTATTCTCTCTATTTCTCTCTCTCACTCATATACACACTGTGACACACCATATTAAAACCCATTGCCTTATATTCCAGTCTTGATTGCCTGTACAAGAACTCAGCACAGCTGCACCATGACTTTGAGGCTCAGGTGCTGCCCCCAGGGAAGACAGTGGACATCAACTTTACCTTCTACCCCCAGGAGGTCAAGCGCTACATTGAGCAGGTCACCTTCGAGATCAATGGGCTGTCCAAACAGGGAATAGAGATCATAGGACAGGGAACCAAGATGAAGGTTAGGATGCTTCTGTTGATGTTTGCAACAGTTTAAGTGATAATTTTGTTTGAAAATTATGTAAAGCAATTGAAGATATATTGTACCTTATAGAAATGCATGTCTGAGAATTAAATTCTTAAAATTTATGTACTAGCATTATGTGAAATCTGAGCCATTTCAATTCATTCAGTATTTTGAAGTGAGCAATATGAATACAAGATGTGAACAATTAGACATTTCTAAGTCCCTGCCATAAGTTTTTATCTTATATGACTAAAACATCGCATGAAATTGCTTCAGATTGAAGTGGCCAACCCTAAGCAGAAGCTGGTCAACTTTGGTGCACTGAGGGTCAATCAGGTGGTCAAGAAGGTCATCCCCATAGTGAACAACAGCCCAGCGCCAATCTCCTTCAACCTGACCATCACCCCCAACAACATGGCTCTGCAGGATGCCTCCATCTTGAACTGGTCCCCCAAGAATAACATCACGCTGGAACCCAAGGGGGGCACTTGCAAAGTGGAGGTGACCTTCTCCCCCAAGACCAGGATTACACAGTTCACAGAGGAGGTGAGGAGGGAGTGGGTTTATCTGATGATGGTGTACTGATGAGTGACAAATAGATCTTAAGTGCAATGTTTGCTTCCAGATATGAATTAGTGATGTGCATAAGTTAAGACTAATTAAAAACCAATTTTATTTGGAAATTGTCTTTTAAGAAATTTGTCAAAATTTTTATGGTTTTGAACTTCCAAGGCACAGTTCCTCTTCTATACTTGTTGAGTTTGGAAAAATGTTGATAATAATGAAGATTATGATAATGATGATTATAGATAACAAAATGATAAAAGATTTCATTATGGTCTAAACATAATTCTCTGTCTTCCTCCTAGGTGCTGCTGGAGTGTGCTGGTATGAACCAGCCTCTGTTTGTGATCACTGGCTCATGTCAGGGTGTGGAGATCTCCCTGGATAATGATGCCATTCCATTTGGAGCTGTGGTGCAGCGCAGCCAGAGCACGCGCAAACTGGTCATGACAAATTCTGGGGACATAGGCGCAAGGTATGTGTAAAGCAAACTTAAGGCTGTCATCCATTGAATAAGAGAAGTATTGTTTTGGCAAATGTATATTTTATTACAGACTTTTAGATTTCACATTTTTATTGTAAGATGAACCATAGCAAAGGCAAAGAATGAAAGGAAAAAGTTGGCATTAATGATGATCCCTTCTCAAAATCTGAATACTGTTTTACTATTTTCCAACAAAAGAATAGAACTGTATATTTTTATATTACATAATACACTGCATTGACCTGATGAGCTTAATAAAAATAGGAAAAGTATATTGCATTGAATATTCTCTTTAATATAACATCTATTTTCCCAAGATTACTGTAATGTAAATTACTGTTATGTAAATGCTCAGTATCATTGGTTGATAATATGCTATTATGTAGACGATCACAATCTAAGTAATCACTTTTTATTTCCTTCATCCAGGTTTCACTGGGATGTGGAAAAATTCAAGCCAGACTTCTCCATCAGCCCAGTCAGTGGTTACATCTCCCCAGGAATGGAGGTCAACTTTGAGATCACTTTCCATCCACTGGAGCTGAGCCAGGATATCAGATATGAGGTTTGTAGTTGGAGGTTGGGTGCACATGACTCAACCACAGTAAGCTTAGGAGGCAATGGATCTTTATTGTTTTTGAGCCAACTTACCTAGACCGATGTTGGCCAACTGACCTTGACTGTTATTAGACCATATTTTAATATTTAAAAATGAAAATTTGGGTTATATGAGGATGAAATGATTAGTGATTGAACCCGTAAATCTAATGATAAAGTTTTCTTTATCACTTATATGAGTAATTTGATATATTTTTTCTAAATTAACAGTTGCTGTATGTATGATATACTGTGAAACATGAGGCATGCTCACAAGATTTGATATTTTCATAACATATTTTCTAACAAAAAACTCCTTACATTTCAGCGTCTAAAATGTGACATTGAGGGTGACAAACCCCTGAGACTAACACTGACAGGGATGTGCATTGGAGTGCCACCCGTAAAGGAGCAGCAGCACATCAACACGCACGTGCGCCAGAAGGAGACCAAGAACATCATGATCATGAACCGTACCAACATGCACTGGGTCCTGAAACCAGTGATAGAAGGGGAGTACTTTAGTGGTCCTGAAATCTTTGAGGTGGAACCTCAGCAAACCAAGCCATTTGAGCTGTGTTACAGACCTCTGACTCTGACACCTGAGGGCAAGAAACACCTGGTGAGTTTTCACATGTCATATGTATATTATGTACTATAAATAGTGGATGTGTTTCCAGGGAATTAAAGTTTTCATGGTTGTGGTTTCCTACCATTTCTGCTGGAAATCTGGTTATGTAACGCTGATTATGGTTGGGAGGAAAGAAATGTTTTGGAAGGGGCCCCCTTGTATTAGGAGTTTCCAGGGAATGGGCATGTCTGTTGTCAGAATTTGATGTGTTGATTGATATGTATAACTTGTACATGTACTGAGTGCTGTTCGTTCATTGGAAATTGATATACTAACCTCAAAATGTGCATTTATTGTAGGTTCTGAGAGTGATTGAATTTAGTTTAAACTTAGAGAAATACAAATTACCTTGTGCATGGAGTTATATCAATTATTTTAGGATTTTTCACTAATATTATTAATGCAGCCTTCGGTTCCTGTATAATCTACATTGTACAATGTAATATTTTTCTTCAGGGTTCCATCTTCTTCCCACTGCCAGATGGCACAGGGCTGATGTATAACTTGGTGGGCTCCTCTGACCCTCCCAAAGTTAATGCCCGCATCACACGGGACGTCCCCTGCAAGACCAGTTATACAGAGATCCTCTCTGTGAACAACTGGCTTAAGAGGCCTCAGAGGTAGGTAGTGTCAGTGATAGAATTTGTAAACATTGAAAAAAAAATGGATTTTATCCCCACTAATCCATATGAACTGTGATATTATTTTTATTTTAATGTGAAAGTAACAGATTTTTAATCAAATGGACACTTACATCAAAGAATTTTTAAAAAAATAATTTGAAAGAGACAAAGTTAGAAAGAAATGAAAACCGTTTCATTAAAGACTCAAGAGTTTTTACCATATACAAGAAGCACTGACAAACCTGCTACATTAATCTCACATGAAATGTAATTTATGTCAGTATGATAGGTACAAGGAATTTAGAATTTATTACATTGTATGACTTCTATAAATGATTTACATACACTGTGATTCCACCTTTCAGATTCAGAGTAAAGTTTGACCCTCTGAAGCCAGACAAGCTGGACTCTGGCACCACACTGAAGGGTCTGGACTACATAGATGTGCCAGGAAACACCAAGAAAGACTACAAACTCACATTTTATGCACACAAAGAGGGGCAGTCTGTTATCAAGGTGAGCAGTGAAACACATTAATAGAAAATAACTCTAGAAATGTAGTTGGAATATTTACAATGCAGAAAAAGTTTAAAGTGGTAATTCTTGGACAAATTCTAACCAGATTTATTAAAAAATTATTATATATATTACACAACTTTACACAACTACATGTATTTTTAAAGAATCTTTTATCATTGCAATAAGTACACCATTCTATTCAATTTCGTAAATTTCAGGTAACTTTCACCAACGAGCAGACAGGTGAGTACCAGTACTATGAGCTGACATACCGCGCCACCAAACCTGACGTCATCGCCACGATAGAGCTGACGACACCAGTGCGCCAGACAGTACAGCACACCATCGAGCTGAAGAACCCCCTCACGTACAGTATCACCTTTGCCGCCTCCTGTGATAAACCTGAAGTCCTGATGCCAAGTCAGCTTGTGGTGCCAGGGGAAACCACGGTAGGGAGGACTTTAAGACATTCTGTAATATGGGGATAGATATACTCACATGCCTGTTATCTCATTGTTAGGGATGCTTTGAATACACCCTGTGTTACAGGGATGGATATACTCACATGCCTGTTATTTCATTGTTAGGGATGCCTTGAATACACTCTTCTATACAGACATAGATATACCCACAAGCCTGATTTTCCACTGGGATGCTTTGTTTACACTCTTTGGTACAGGGATAATTATTGCTAACATGCCTGTTATCCCATTGTTATGGAAGCTTTGAGTACAGTCTTTGATGCATTGATAGATGTTATTTTATTTAATTATTTCGGTGCTAGTACATAATGATATATCTGTGACCCAGCAAGTATATAATACATATGTGCATGCATAGCAAGAACAATATACCCTCAAACCCACCTCTGCCCTATAGCATTATACTACATACACTGTATAACTACATACCAAGGCTATTTTTTTCCAACAGCTTTATATGATAGCATTTGGGTAAATTATTATTACTCTATTTGTACAGGGTTATTTCAACCTGGAGTACCTGCCACTGAAAGTTGGCGAGGAGACAGCCGAGCTGAACTTCATCAGTAATGATCTGGGTCAGTACAACTACATCCTGGTTCTCAAGGCTGCCCCGGCGGGACCAGAGAAGGCGCTGTACTTCCGCTCCTGTCTGGGTCTCAACCAGGTGCAGCAGGCGCGATTCCTGAACTTTGCCAAAAGTAAAACAGACTATGCTTGCAAGGTGAGTTTATCGCTATGTGAAGTTTTTGTTCCTCTATGAGATATGAAATTGTTTAGAAAGTTTGAAAAAAACTACCTGTCTTATTTTTATACACATTTGTAGGTTTTCAAACATTTTTTTCACATAAGCGTATCATTCTTTGTTTGATTACTCAAAATCAAATTAATTGTCATTTTTTTAATTCTTTACTAACTGACAAAGTTTTGAATTCATGTTGATATCAAAACTACCAATTTAACCCAAAGTTTGACACATCTACTTTCAGATTGACAATCCAGATTTTCACTGTGAAAAGAGCGTGCCGGCTGCTCCAGGATCAAGTGGTGGAACTTGGGTTGCCTTGGATGTCACATATGAACCTTCACGCATAGGAGAGTCCAGAGGAACCCTAACCATCACCTCTCCCACTGGAGGGGACTACACATTCCCACTATTTGGCACAGCCATTCCTCCAAAACCACAGGGTCCCTTCATTATAAAGGCTGGCTCAACAACATCAATCACATTCCGCAATGTATTCATGCACACGACGCCGTTCACATTCCAGGTGGATAACCCATTATTCCATGTGACAAAATCAGGAGAAAATATCCGTTCACGGAAAGACCATCGTATTGTAGTTGGCTTTGATGGCAATGACAGTGGCACCAAGGCAGCAGTAATGGGGAAATTGATTGTAACATGTGCACGGTCAGCAGGAGGGTCATCCAATGTCCAGTGGGTGTATTATTTGAAGGGGATTACACCTTAAGGAAAAGATCATTATGTTTTTTCCACAAAGACTTTTTCCACAATTTCAATGTCAGAACTCAATGAACTTTAACAACAAGAAATGTCCCAAACACTTGAATTGCTCAAAGACTCACTTTCCATTATATTGTAAGACATACAAAGATAAGATTCATTGGGAACCATATAAAGGTACTCTTTCTGTAATTTTCTGGAAAAGATATTTATGTATATAAACAGACTTTGCATCCAACACAAAAAGAAACAAACTTGCTTAGATTTTTATGATGAATTTAACATAATGTATATTGTGCACATATTCTTTTTAATTCTATATCAGTTTTCAATAAATTTCAGAATTGAAGTCGGTGGTTTACCATTGTCCGTCCATAGATACTTTTACTACTTAAAAACCGTCCCAAATGTGTAATATATACACACTTTTTTCTAACTGACCAAATGTTTTTCATGTTTTTATATCAAAACAATTCTAACAAGGTATTTTTACCTGTTTTAAATGTTTATTGGTTTGTTGTAAAATAAATTGTATTTATCAGAGTGACCATATCAGTATATTGTACAAAGTTCAAGCAATAAATGTGTTGTGATTGCTGATATATAGTGGTCTACCTTGCTCTCTCACCCCCCGCCTTTCACACACACAAACTTGCATTTTTGTTGTGGCTTATGATTAATCAGGTATCGTTCCTCTGGTAAACGCATTTTTATAACGACAAGACAGTATAAAAAAGCAACCCGAAAATTTATTTAACCTACTCAGCACAACCACTGCTTGAATCCAACTGAACGTTTGTCCACCTCACTGAATCGCCTCGTTTATATAACATTCCCCTATGCGGAGAAATGTAATATAACGGAGGTAATAAAGTTTTTAAGCAAAGTTTGGGGTGTGCTGGTATTAAATGATATAAACTCTTCAAACTTGCAATTTTCCTGTAGTTTATAACAGTCTTGAATTATAATCATCATATGTTAAAATTTATGTACAGTAGGCAATAGCATAAGCGGTTGTCAAGCCAAAGGCCATAGTGCCATCAGTTGTAAATGGTTTGCACGGTTGTCCTATTGTTGTCCTAATAATAACCTTATGTTATCATAGTTTCAACTGAACCTGGGTACCTTAATTTTCAATAAAATTGTTATTAACATTTTGCGACTGTCAGATGTCTAGTTTGCATAAAAAAAAAATCAATTTTGCTCCAATATCATACAGAAGGATCCATCCCTTAGCTCCATCACTGCCGCCGTGCAATGTATTGTAATTGTGTTGTATTCTACCCATGATGAGATGGCAGTTGAAGTAAGAGTAGTTAACCAATAACTGCTCTTTCGTAACAAGATTTTTAGAATGGTATTAGGGCCTACTAACTCTGAATAAAATATATGTTTGGCGCTGAATTTCCACTATGTCACCCAACAGACATGCGACTATATAAGGTAGGCCTATAAAAGGAATTTAAAGTTAAAGTATTTATGCTAAATACCAACATAAAGCAAGGAGTTATAACTGTTATAACTCCTTGCATAAAGTAACCAACAAAATTCCAACTATATCACGAGCAATAAAACTTAACTCTGCTGATCAACAGGGTATTTTGTACTCTTCGACATAATCTTTAAAGTGCTTTAAGACTTCGTCTTTAGTCAGGTGATAGCGATTTAGGTCGTACTCGTGGCACCCATATTTGTTTTTCGGATTTTCCTTCACATACGCCTCCATTTTTTCTGTAACTTCGTCGGTCAGTTCCAGGCCAAAATGATCGTATATTTTCTTCACAACATCCATAGGCGATGTTGCGAGGTCGTCATACGCAATGTCGATGAATCTGTGCTCCAGCTCTGGGTTGTGTTTCCTGTAATTCATCATCTGTATTCCACCGTGGCAGAATGAGTTACCCAATACCTCTCTGCCAATTTGCTTCAAGTCCACGTCATCTTTCTCGTATGTGAGTAGCTTGAAGTTTTCGCGGACAGAACACAGGGAGGCAACGGTTGTACTCGGATTGCGGTAGGTGTGGACGAAGATTGCGTCAGGATAGACCTTAAGTGCGACAGCCAAATACAGACTGTGGAAATTCTCTTTGAAAACCATCCGTAGATCGCTGTTTAGAAATTCTGCAACAAAAACAACACATTGTTTCAATTCTGCCGAAAAGTTTAATTCAGTTATAACAATAAATTCTCGTTTTTTAAAGGTATAGCACGCTAGTAGAAAATAAGAGAGGCATTGCTTATTAACAAAAAGGAGCAGTTATTTGCATGTATTTTTATAACCAGTTAGAAACTCACCTCTGCTATGTAATATAAGCTGAGTCTGCTGCTTATGGAAACGATAAGCCTCAAGCATTTCGTCATTCGTTCTCGCCTCCATCCACTTTACATACTCTCTACAGTCCGAGAGTTGGAAAGCGCAATCCTTAAACACACCGATGTTATGGAATAGATAGAAATCTTCTTCGGGACCGCCAGCTTCATAGCGGTGCATGGTTTTGAAAGCAGCACTGGTGACGTACATTCTGGCTGAATAAGAATTCTTTCAATAAGTACTGAACGCATACTTAAGAATTAGTTACATATTAGACATTTTTGGCCCATCCAAGTTGTCATATGACAATAACTGTGGAAATAATTTAGAAAAAAAGCAATATCATTTTTAAGTTGCTTACCTTTTGCCTGTGTAGCTTTCATAATCCGTGGGTCCTCGACGCCGGTATCAGCATCTACAACTGGTTGCAAAAGTTCATAATACTTGAGGCATGTATTTAGAGGATCAGAGAATAGGAGCTTTTGGAGGAAAGTAGTTCCAGTGCGACAAGGACCAATAATGAAAATCGGCTTTTTGATTGGGATCTGAAATAGTTTTAACAAGAGCAACAGTACATAGCATAAGGTCTCAACATATTCAAACTTGTAGCCATATTTATCGCCACTTCGGCTGAGGTTACCCTCTACCAGGGCCACCAAAAGCTTAATTACTTTACTAGATATTGACAGATATGTCTCACTTTTTTCAACTGTACAACGATAAATTTGGTATGTAATTAATTTCATCACTCACTTGGCCTCTAGAAAAGCGTAGACTGAGGCTGATATACTGTTTTGCTGGCCTCAGGAAAGTGATATCGACCACGGCATATATACACTCTAATTTCACTTGTTTCCGTTTTACAAGTCATCACAACGGCTGTAAAAAGTTTTAAATAGTGCTTTTTATCCCAGAAACCACATCATACATTATGCTATGTGATTGGGCTCCATATAAACATGAATAGGATTTTCTGTTTAATAACTAATGCAATTTAATGTCTTTTTTTAAATCTTTTTCTTGCTCATTGTAATACTTTGTACCAAAAGTTAAAAACATTAATTTGTAGACGTGATGATATTTTTATTATGAGTGTATTTATATATCTATTTATCCAGCCTTTTTGTTATGCATGAAAGCCGTGAACAACGAAACATTTTGCAAAATAAATAAATAAATGAATAAAAGTCATTCGTAGAGAGTAGGATGTTCTAATTTCCACATTAACAGAAAAGCTAATTTCTTTGAGGATGTTACCGCACATTTAAATAATGTAACATACACGTGTGCAAAATGAGAAAAAAAGCTGGCCTGGATAAGTAAATATCTTAAGCGCACATACACTGAGCCTCAAGTGCAAATGAAATATAAATTAGGACACAAAGAAACGTGCAGCCCACATGGAACCCATTAACATCACGTACCAATATTTCCGAAAATGTAGACATGCGGGACAAAAATATTACTAGGAGATACTCAGAGCATAGTTTTAACATCGTCAGCATGAGGGTCACGAAATATGAGCCATGTTGTCAGTGATAACTGGGTAAATGATAGATCCAGTGTTCAGATAAATTAACATCTAGTTTTGCATACTTGACTAAGCTGCTATAATAATTATAAGGACGTCGTTTTTGTCCTTTCCGNGCGTCTCCGTTCGCCATGCGGAAGCTACCTGAGAAATATTAAGTGCGCATGCTCATCAGTTAAACTCGTGGTGAAGAAAGCATGGCGGCTAAAGGCGATCGAAGGAAAAAAGCTCTTCTGTTCTATTATCTTTGAAAACAGAGACGAAAAAGGAATAATTTGGCCGGTAGAGCAGCAATGAATCGACTATCTACAGAGATAATATCACCAGAGATATTCACGGAAATATTAATGTTCAGAGCCGAGATTTAATTACTGTACCCCGCAGGGACGACGTGTGGGGAGGCGTGTGAGAGGCGGAGAGACTATTAAAAGATTAGGCGGTTTTTCTTTCATGTACGTCCGCCATTTTTAGGTCACCGGCTTTGTAAAGCCTGGCTTAATTCGTTGAGAATGCGCTCTTAGTGATGTACATAAGTTAGGACTAAAATCAATTTAAGTTGTTGCCTTTGTCAATTGTCTTTAAAAATTTTGCTTTGATTGTGCTTTTACATTTTTCTTGTTCTTTAAAAAGAAACCTGTATTGTTAAAGTCTCCTTATTCAGAAATGTCATACATTTGCTTCATATTTTTATGCTTCTGGACTTTAAATGGCTCAGGTCCAGTTAATAAATACTTGTTATTGATTTTAGAATATGCCTCTAAAATGACAATATATAATAATGATGATAATTATAATAATGAATTATAAAATTATTTTTAAAAAAGTTTCATATGGTCTAAACACAATTCCCTATCTTCCTCCTAGGTGCTGCTGGAGTGTGCTGGTATGAACCAGCCTCTGTTTGTGATCACTGGCTCATGTCAGGGTGTGGAGATCTCCCTGGATAATGACGCCATTCCATTTGGAGCTGTGGTGCAGCGCAGCCAGAGCACGCGCAAACTGGTCATGACAAATTCTGGGGACATAGGGGCAAGGTACGTGTAAAGCAAACTTTAGGCTGTCATCCATTGAATAAGAGTAGTATTGTTTTGGCAAATGTATATTTTATTACAGACTTTTAGATTTCACATTTTTATTGTAAGATGAACCATGGCAAAGGCAAAGAATGAAAGGAAAAAGTTGGCGTTAATGATGATCCCTTACTATGTTCTCAAAATCTATATACTGTTTTACTTTTTTCCAACAAAAGAATAGAACTTTATATAACATTTTAAGAAATGGTAAAAAATATTTTTGCATTGAATGTAAATACTCGGTGTCATTGATTGATCTTATGCTATTATGTAAACCATCACAATTTTATTTCCTTCATCCAGGTTTCACTGGGATGTGGAAAAATTTAAGCCAGACTTCTCCATCAGCCCAGTCAGTGGTTACATCTCCCCAGGAATGGAGGTCAACTTTGAGATCACTTTCCATCCCCTGGAGCTGAGCCAGGATATCAGATATGAGGTTTGTAGTTGGAGGTTGGGTGCACATGACTCAACGACAGTAAGCTTAAGAGCCAATGGATCATTATTGCTTTTGGGCCAACTTACCTAGACCGATGTTGGCCAACTGACCTTGACTGTTATTAGACCATATTTTAATATTTAAAAATGAAAATTTGGGTTATTTGAGTATGAAATTATTAGTGATTGAACCCGTAAATCTAATGTTAAAGTTTTCTTTATCACTTATATGAGTAATTTGATATATTTTTTCTAAATTAACAGTTGCTGTATGTATGATATACTGTGAAACATGAGGCATGCTCACAAGATTTGATATTTTCGTAACATATTTTCTAACAAAAAAATTATTACATTTCAGCGTCTAAAATGTGACATTGAGGGTGACAAACCCCTGAGACTAACACTGACAGGGATGTGCATTGGCGTGCCACCTGTAAAAGAGCAGCAGCACATCAACACGCACGTGCGCCAGAAGGAGACCAAGAACATCATGATCATGAACCGTACCAACATGCACTGGGTCCTGAAACCAGTGATAGAAGGGGAGTACTTTAGTGGTCCTGAGATCTTTGAGGTGGAGCCCCAGCAAACCAAGCCATTTGAGCTGTGTTATAGGCCTTTGACACTGACACCTGAAGGCAAGAAACACCTGGTGAGTTTTCACGTGTCATATATATTATGTAATATAATATAAATAATGGATGTGTTTCCAGGGAATTAAAGTTTTCATGGTTGTGGTTTCCTACCATTTCTATTGGAAGTCTGGTAATGTACCGCTGATTATGGTTGGGAGGAAACAAATGTTTTGGAAGGGGCCCCCTTGTATTAGGAGTTTCCAGGGTATGGGCATATCTGTTGTCAGAATTTGAAGTGTTGATTGATATGTATAACTTGTACAAAGTGCTGTTCATTCTTTGGAAATTAATATACTAACATAAAAATATGCATTTATTGTAGGTTCTGAGAGCTATTGAATTTAGTTTAAACTTAGAGAAATACAAATTATCTTGTACATGGAGTTAAATCAATTATTTTAGAATTTTTCACTAATATTATTAATGCAGCCTTTGGTTCCTGTATAATCTACATTGTACTATGTAATATTTCTCTTCAGGGCTCCATCTTCTTCCCGCTGCCAGATGGCACAGGGCTGATGTATAACCTGGTGGGTTCCTCTGACCCTCCAAAAGTTAATGCCCGCATCACACGTGACGTCCCCTGCAAAACCAGCTATACAGAGATCCTCTCTGTGAACAACTGGCTTAAGAGGCCTCAGAGGTAGGTACTAGAAGTGATATATTTTGTAAATTTCTAACAATATATAATATATATCCATATAAACAGTAAACAGACGCAAATGATTTAAAGTTTAATTAAAGATTATGTATGTTTTTACCTACGCATTTTCACGCAAAAAAAAAAAAAAATTAACAAACCAATTTCACTGATCTAATATATACAGTGTAATTGATATCAGTATGATAGCTACAAAGAATTTATTACATTGTATGAATTATACAAATGATTTATATTGATTTCACCTTGATCCCATCTTTCAGATTCAGAGTAAAGTTTGACCCACTGAAACCAGACAAGCTGGACTCTGGCACCACACTGAAGGGTCTGGACTACATAGATGTGCCAGGAAACACCAAGAAAGACTACAAACTCACATTTTATGCACACAAAGAGGGGCAGTCTGTTATCAAGGTGAGCAGTGAAACACATTAATAGAAAATAATTCTAAAATGTAATTGCAATATTTACAATGCAGAAAGCATTGAAAACAAGGGATCAATTAAAAATTTTATATGAGTTCTTTTTTGTGGCATATAAGAGGCATCACTAAAAGTATGTGTTACAACTATTCACTTATTGTACCACTCAGTGACTCTGACATATATATCACTAAAATATAATGGAAATTTACAGAATAATATGAATATTTAAGTACAATGAACAGAATTTGAAGCTACATGTATTTCAGAATCTTTTATCATTGCAATAAGTAAACAACATTATCCAATTTTGTAAATTTCAGGTAACTTTCACCAACGAGCAGACAGGCGAGTACCAGTACTATGAGCTGACATACCGCGCCACCAAACCTGACGTCATCGCCACGATAGAGCTGACGACACCAGTGCGCCAGACAGTACAGCACACCATTGAGCTGAAGAACCCCCTCACATACAGTATCACCTTTGCTGCCTCCTGTGATAAACCTGAAGTCCTGATGCCCAGTCAGCTGGTGGTGCCAGGGGAAACCACGGTATGGAGGCTTAAAAGACAATCTGTAATATGTGGATAGATATACTCACATATGTGTTTCAGGGATAGATATACTCACATGCCTGTTATCTCATTGTTAGGGATGCTTTGAATTGACTCTCTGATATAGGGATAATTATGCTAACACGCCTGTTATCCCATTGTTGGGGAAGCTTTGAGTACACTCTTTGATGCAATAATAGATATTTATTTTATTTCATTATTTCGGTGCTAGTAAGTTATGCTATATCTGTGACCCAGCAAGTATGTAATACATATGTGCATGAATAGCAAGAACAATATACCCTCACACCCACTTCTGCCCTATAGCATTGTACTAAATACATGTACACTGTATAATTACATACCCAGGGTATTTTTTCCAACAGCTTTATATGATAGTGTTTGGATTAATTATTACTCTAATTTGTACAGGGTTATTTCAACCTGGAGTACCTGCCACTGAAGGTCGGTGAAGAGACAGCCGAGCTGAACTTCATCAGTAATGATCTGGGTCAGTACAACTACATCCTGGTTCTGAAGGCTGCCCCAGCAGGACCAGAGAAGGCACTGTACTTCCGCTCCTGTCTGGGTCTCAACCAGGTGCAGCAGGCGCGATTCCTGAACTTTGCCAAAAGTAAAACAGACTATGCTTGCAAGGTGAGTTTATGGCTATGTGGAGTTTTTGTTCCTTTATGAAGGATGAAATTGTTTAGAAAGTTTGAAAAAACTACATGTATTTTTTTTTTTTTTTTATTTATTTATTTATTATTATTATTTTTTTTTTTTTGCACATTAATAGGTTTCAAACATATTTTTCACAAAAGTGTACCGGCCATTCTTTGTTTAATGACTCAAAATCAAATTTCTTGTCATATTTTTAATTCTTTAATCACCGACAAAGTTTTGAAATTCATTTTGGTATCAAAAGTGTCAATTTAACCCAAAGTTTGATAAATCTACTTTCAGATTGACAATCCAGATTTTCACTGTGAAAAGAGCGTGCCAGCTGCTCCAGGATCAAGTGGTGGAACCTGGGTTGCCTTGGATGTCACTTATGAACCTTCACGCATAGGAGAGTCAAGAGGAACCCTGACCATCACCTCACCCACTGGAGGGGACTACACATTCCCATTATTCGGCACAGCCATTCCTCCAAAACCACAGGGTCCCTTCATTATAAAGGCTGGCTCAACAACATCCATCACATTCCGCAATGTATTCATGCACACGACGCCGTTCACATTCCAGGTGGATAACCCATTATTCCATGTGACAAAATCAGGAGAAAATATCCGTTCACGGAAAGACCATCGTATTGTAGTTGGCTTTGATGGCAATGACAGTGGCACCAAGGCAGCAGTAATGGGGAAATTGATTGTGACATGTGCACGGTCAGCAGGAGGGTCATCCAATGTCCAGTGGGTGTATTATTTGAAGGGGATTACACCTTAAGGAAAAGATCATTATGTTTTTTCCGCAAAGACTTTTTACACAATTTCAGTGTCAGAACTCAATGAACTTTAACAACAAGAAACGTCCCAAACACTTGAATTGCTCAAAGACTCAGTTTCCATAGCATTGTAAGACATTATAAAAAGATAAGATTCATTGGGAACCATATAAAGGTACTCTTTCTGTAATTTTCTGGAAAATATATTTATGTATATAAACAGACTTTGCATCCAACACAAAAAGAAACAAACTTGCTTAGATTTTTATGATGAATTTAACATAATGTACATTGTGCACATATTCTTTTTAATTCTATATTAGTTTTCAATTAATTTCAGAATTGAAATCAGTGGTTTACCATTGTCCGTCCATAGATACTTTTACTACTTTAAAACCGTCCCAAATGTGTAATATATACACACTTTTTTCTAACTGACCAAATGTTTTTCATGTTTTTATATCAAAACAATTCTAACAAGGTATTTTTTCCTGTTTGAAATGTTTATTGGTTTGTTGTAAAATAAATTGTATTTATCAGAGTGACCATATCAGTATATTGTACAAAGTTCAAGCAATAAATGTGTTGTGATTGCTGATATATAGTGGTCTACCTTGCTCCCCCACCCCCTCCTTTCACACACACACAAACTTGCATTTTTGTTGTGGCTTATGATTATTAATCAGGTGTCATTCCTCTGGTAAATGCGTTGTTATAACAACAAGACGGCATCAAAAAGTAATCTTGAAACCTTATTTAACCTACTCAGCAGAACCACTGCTTATATCAAACTGAACGTTTGTCCACGTCACTGAATCATCTCATTAATACGACATTCCCCCACGCGGAGAAATATAATATAACGCAAAGAATAAAGTGTTTAAGCACAGTTTGGGGTGTACTGGTACTTATTTACATAAGCTCTTTAAACTTGTAATTTTCCTTTTGTTTATGACAGTCTTGAATTATAATCATCAGGTTATAGTATAAGCGGTTGTCAAGCCAAAGGCCATCAGTTGTAAATGGTTTGCACGGTTGTCCTATTGTTGTCCTAATAATAACCCTATGTTATCATAGTTTCAACTGAACCTGGGTACCTTAATTTTCGATAAAATTGTTATTAACATATTGCGACTGTCAGATGTCTACGTTGTTGGGGTGCCCTCTAGTTTGCATAAAAAATCAATTTTGCTCTAGTGTCATACAGAAGAATCAATCCCTTAGCTTCACCACTGCCGCCTTGCAATGTATTGCAGTTGTGTTGTATTCTACCCATGACTACCCTAGGTTCTAGATTCCGGTATTGCCAGCTCGATCTTGATTTCATATATAACTCATAGCAGCAATACCAGGTGAAAGTGACTCCAAGGTATATTTAATATTTAACAAACTAACTTTCACGTTGCTCTGACACTCAGGGTACCCATGATGAGGTGGCAGTTGAAATAAGGGTTGCTTTTGTTAACCAATATATACTCTTTCGTAACCAGATTTTAAGAATGGTATTACCAACTCTGAATAAAATAAATGTTTGGCGCCGAATTTTCACTATGTCACCCAACAGACATGCGACTATATAAGGTATAAAAGGGATTTAAAGTTAAAGTATTTATGAAGAAAGCGGTTTTGAATACCAACATAAAGTACCCAACAAAATTCCAACTATATCACGGGCAATAGGCTAATAGTTAACTCTGATGATCAACATGGGATTTTGTACTCTTCGACATATTTTTTAAAGTGCTTTAAAACTTCGTCTTTAGTCAAGTGATAGCGATTTAGGTCGTACTCGTGGCGTCCATATTTGTTTTTCGGATTTTCTTTCACATACGCCTGCATTTTGTCTTTCCCTTGGTCCGTCAGTTCCAGGCCAAAATAATCGTATATTTTCTTCACAGCATCCATGGGCGATGTTACGAGGTCGTCATACGCAACGTCGATGAATCTGTGCTCCAGCTCTGGGTGGTGTTTCCTGTAATTCATCATCTGTATTCCACCGTGGCAGAATGAGTTATCCAAAACCTCTCTGCCAATTTGTTTCAAGTCCACGTCATGTCTCTCATAAGTGAGTAGCTTGAAGTTTTCGCAGACTGAACACAGAGAGGCTACTGTTGTACTCGGATTGCGGTAAGTGTGAATGAAGATTGCGTCAGGATACACCTTAAGTGCGACATCCAAATACAGACTGTGGAAACTCTCTTTGAAAACCATCCGCAGACCACTGTTCAGAGATTCTGAAACAAAAACAACAACTTGCTTTAATTCTGCCAAAAAGTTTAATTCAGTCATAACTTTGTATAAAATGAACGACGAATTCTCGTATTTTAAAGGTAAATAGCACTGGTAGAAAATAAGAGAGACATTGTTTATTTATTAACAAAAAGAAGCAGTTATTTGCATGTTTTTATGTAACCGGTTAGAAACTCACCTCTGCTATGTAATATAAGCTGAGTCTGCTGCTTATGAAAACGATAAGCCTCAAGCATTTCGTCATTCGTTCGCGCCTCCATCCACTTTACATACTCTCTACAGTCCGAGAGTTGGAATGCACAATCCTTGAACACACCAATGTTATGGAATAGATAGTAATCTTCTTCGGGGCCGCCTGCTTCAAAGTGGTGCATGGTTTTGAAATCAGGTCTGGTGGCATGCATTCTGGCTGAATAAAGATTCTTTCAATAAGTATTGAATGCATACTTAAGAATCAGTTACATATTAGACATTTTTGGCCCATCCAAGTCATATGACAATAACTGTGGAAATAATTTAGACTGATTGTAAAGCAATATCATTTTTAAGTTGCTTACCTTTTGCCTGTGTAGCTTTCATAATCCGTGGGTCCTCGAAGCCGGTATCAGCATTTACAACTGGTTGCAAAAGTTCATAATACTTGAGGCATGTATTTTGAGGATCAGAGAATAGGAGCTTTTGGAGGAAAGTGGTTCCAGTGCGACAAGGACCAATAATGAAAATCGGCTTTTTGATAGGGATCTGAAATAGTTTTAACAAGAGCAACAGTACATAGCATAAGGTCTCAACATATTCAAACTTGTAGTCATATTTATCGCCACTTCGGCTGAGGTTACCCTCTACCAGGGCCACCAAAAGCTTAATTACTTTACTAGATATTGACAGATGTCTCACTTTTTTCAACTGTACAACGATAAATTTGGTATGTAATTAATTTCATCACTCATTTGGCCTCTAGATAAGCGTAGACTGAGGCTGATGTGCTGTTTTGCGGGCCTCAGGAAAGTGATATCGACCACGACATATATACACTCTAATTTCAATTGTTTCCGTTTTACAAGTCATCACAACGGCTGTTAAAAGTTTAAAATAGTGCTTTTTATCCCAGAAACCACATCATACATTATGCTATGTGATTGGGCTCCATATAAACATGAATAGGATTTTCTGTTTAATAACTAATGCAATTTAATGTTTTTTTTTAATCTTTTTCTTGCTCATTGTAATACTTTGTACCAACAGTTAAAAACATTAATTTGTAGACGTGATGGTATTTTTATTATGAGTGTATTTATATATCTATTTACCCAGCCTTTTTGTTATGCATGAAAGCCGTGAACAACGAAACATTTTGCAAAATAAATAAATAAATAAATGTCATTCGTAGAGAGTAGGATGTTCTAATTTCCACATTAACAGAAAAGCTAATTTCTTTGAGGATGTTACCGCACATTTAAATAATGTAACATACACGTGTGCAAAATGAGAAAAAAAGCTGGCCTGGATTAGTAAATATTTTAAGCGCACATACACTGAGCCTCAAGTGAAAATGAAATATAAATTAGGACACAAAGAAACGTGCAGCCCACATGGAACCCATTAACATCACGTACCAATATTTCCGAAAATGTAGACATGCGGGACAAAAATATTACTAGGAAGATACTCAGAGCATAGTTTTAACATCGTCAGCATGAGGGTCACGAAATATGAGCCATGTTGTCAGTGATAACTGGGTAAATGATAGATCCAGTGTTCAGATAAATTAAACATCTAGTTTTGCATACTTGACTAAGCTGCTATAATAATTATAAGGACGTCGTTTTTGTCCTTTCAGTCTACCACATGTACATGTATATGTACATAAGTGAAGAATGAAGACTGCTATTTACAAAGTTGAGACCAATGGTGAAATTTGTTTTGAATTGGCCAAATAAGATTGATTTCGAGTCAAGAATTTCGAAGGTCTAGAGCACTCGATGGGTAATCGACCTTCCGCTCAGTCTCAAGGTGATGACACTTCGAAAGGCATAAACACAAAATTTTAAGAAAGGGACAAATTTAACCATGTATGTCAACAAAACATCCCTTTGGTTCTATAGATGAGGTATATAGGCCTATGCACATGTATACTAACCTTGTTTAAGTCAACTGCCGGCAGTCGTCTAGATATCGCTAGTCTGTTTTTAAGGACGTCAACCCAGCGTCTTTCTATCCACTGTCTTCCTGCCAAGGTGAAAGCTTTGTCTTCACGAAAGCATCTCAGTAATAAGGTAAATCCTTCATACCACCAGTGACCGGTGAGTGTATCTGATAACAGCAACTCGCGGTCTTCTTCAGAGAAATGACTCAAAATACTTTCCTCTGTGAGAGGAACAGGCGATCCGCGGGACATTATGCAATGTAAACAATTAAAGAGATACGTTTACACGAAAGGCAATACAAGTAGGGCTACATGTACGTATATTTCACAAGATTTCCTGTACTTAGCTTACGCTGAGAGAAATTGGTATCAAACAGCTCACCGAGGAAGTCACTTACAACGTAAAATACCTCAGTTATTTGCCGTACGTCGATGGCAGAGTTTGAGTCCCTGATGCGTCTTAGAATGATAAGGACAGCTCTTTTTATCGCTCGCAAAATAATGTGCATTAACTCAAATGACATCGACTAAGTTCGTGACGTGTGACGCAATTTAACGAGTGCAAGGAGTGATGAAAGGATAATTGTTATTGGATGGTGAATGTAAAAATCTAATTGTCCTGTAAGAGGGCTTGTTAGGATTTAGTTTGGATTTAGATTTATTGCTCATGTACTCTTCCATATATGTCTGAATGTCTGATCATCAGTTGGCCGAAGAAAGAATTTTGAAAGTAACATCCTCAGTAAGTGGATATTTTTTTTTGAAGAGTAGTGGTGTTTTGAACTATCATCAGTAAAGGGTGTTTTGGCATGAGAATGGGTTATGTTACTCAGCGTTTTAAGAATCAATAATTTTCAGAGGACACAAAGATTGATCATTCCTGTATCTTATTCCTCTGGTAAGGGTCCCTCTGACAATCCCATGGCCAGAATTTCAAGCACATTTTAAACTTCTTATATTTTTTTCTTCATCACATACACAAACTCAAAATTGATCTGTTATTTTAAAGGTTTTATTTTACTATATTTATATAAATCTGTTTTGCACAGAAACTGTTATCTTTTAATTATTCTACTGAGGTTTTATTTGCCGAACATACCTCACTTATTTGTACTGTTTAAGAGTTTTTATTTTGTGGCAATGAAAAGAAACCGCACCAGTTTATGCAAAACGAGGTGTATNGTCTACCACATGTACATGTATATGTACATAAGTGAAGAATGAAGACTGCTATTTACAAAGTTGAGACCAATGGTGAAATTTGTTTTGAATTGGCCAAATAAGATTGATTTCGAGTCAAGAATTTCGAAGGTCTAGAGCACTCGATGGGTAATCGACCTTCCGCTCAGTCTCAAGGTGATGACACTTCGAAAGGCATAAACACAAAATTTTAAGAAAGGGACAAATTTAACCATGTATGTCAACAAAACATCCCTTTGGTTCTATAGATGAGGTATATAGGCCTATGCACATGTATACTAACCTTGTTTAAGTCAACTGCCGGCAGTCGTCTAGATATCGCTAGTCTGTTTTTAAGGACGTCAACCCAGCGTCTTTCTATCCACTGTCTTCCTGCCAAGGTGAAAGCTTTGTCTTCACGAAAGCATCTCAGTAATAAGGTAAATCCTTCATACCACCAGTGACCGGTGAGTGTATCTGATAACAGCAACTCGCGGTCTTCTTCAGAGAAATGACTCAAAATACTTTCCTCTGTGAGAGGAACAGGCGATCCGCGGGACATTATGCAATGTAAACAATTAAAGAGATACGTTTACACGAAAGGCAATACAAGTAGGGCTACATGTACGTATATTTCACAAGATTTCCTGTACTTAGCTTACGCTGAGAGAAATTGGTATCAAACAGCTCACCGAGGAAGTCACTTACAACGTAAAATACCTCAGTTATTTGCCGTACGTCGATGGCAGAGTTTGAGTCCCTGATGCGTCTTAGAATGATAAGGACAGCTCTTTTTATCGCTCGCAAAATAATGTGCATTAACTCAAATGACATCGACTAAGTTCGTGACGTGTGACGCAATTTAACGAGTGCAAGGAGTGATGAAAGGATAATTGTTATTGGATAGTGAATGTAAAAATCTAATTGTCCTGTAAGAGGGCTTGTTAGGATTTAGTTTGGATTTAGATTTATTGCTCATGTACTCTTCCATGTCTGAATGTCTGATCATCAGTTGGCCGAAGAAAGAATTTTGAAAGTAACATCCTCAGTAAGTGGATATTTTTTTTGAAGAGTAGTGGTGTTTTGAACTATCATCAGTAAAGGGTGTTTTGGCATGAGAATGGGTTATGTTACTCAGCGTTTTAAGAATCAATAATTTTCAGAGGACACAAAGATTGATCATTCCTGTATCTTATTCCTCTGGTAAGGGTCCCTCTGACAATCCCATGGCCAGAATTTCAAGCACATTTTAAACTTCTTATATTTTTTCTTCATCACATACACAAACTCAAAATTGATCTGTTATTTTAAAGGTTTTATTTTACTATATTTATATAAATCTGTTTTGCACAGAAACTGTTATCTTTTAATTATTCTACTGAGGTTTTATTTGCCGAACATACCTCACTTATTTGTACTGTTTAAGAGTTTTTATTTTGTGGCAATGAAAAGAAACCGCACCAGTTTATGCAAAACGAGGTGTATTTATAATGCCTGGATTTTTTAATATTCTCGTGCCAACATATGATGAATGGTTGCCTAGGCATCTTATGCTTGTTGCATTATTCTAAATCAACCAAAAAAAGAATAACTGTATATGTCAAAAACGCGTCTCAGTAAATCGTCTGTGAACACACCCAAGGGGTCAAGTGTTTGTCTGATGATTTTGAAAATGGTTAAGTCGAAGCCGTAGCCTCTTCTGATCCGCTGTTTTAGGGATGGGAAATGCAGGAATCCTTTCCCCCAGTGTGGTAATCCATTTAGGCCGTTCTGATCCCACGCCGTCACAATCTGAAACCACAACGACAATTAAAAAGAAGTTACATTGCTTTGGTATGGCATATCATATCTCGTTAAGATGACAAAATAGAAAAAAAACTGTATTCCGTCGATGGTATAAATTAAGAGAATAATAATAATAATAATAATAATAATAATAATGATAATAATAATAATAATAATAGTGGTGGTGTGTGATGAAAAAGTGTTAAGGACTGTTGCAAGTATTTGCGTATTACATGTAACTATGCTCATCGTTTGTGACAGATTAAACGTTTTAAATTAGCCATATTTTGAGTAAAACATACCTCTGATTGGAATCTATTAGTTTGCCTTACATGATCCGGAGGACCCGGACGTCTGTGCACGTGGAAGGATGAGAAGTAGCTGTGATCCACTGTCTGCTTTTGTTTACTCCACCCCAATGGTACCGAACCAGGGCAGATGAGGCAGTCGGTTCCCTTGAACCATTTAAAGATGCCCTCCTCCATCGCCTGTACGCCATTCCGGTAAGATGCTTCGTTAAGATACGAAGATAGAACCTGGAGGTGTATAATTGTATAATTACGTGTTTTTTTTCAAAGAAAACTTTATTCTTTGCAGTGGTTCACATCTGATATTAAAAAAGGCCATTGTGGTCGAAATCTGATATTCAGATTCTTTAATTGTAAAATATTTCACTACTATTGGAGGTTAAGGATTATCTTTGGGCAAATAGTCTCTCACATGAGAAATGTATCAAAATCATGAGCCATTGCATTCGATATATTCTATTTGTATATAAAGGTTGTGTATTTGTCGTAAATAATGTACAAAAGAAAGGCGTTTGATGATTCCAAGGCTGTCGTTCGCATGTACATATTATGCATTTACCTATCATATTCTATATACTGTATATTCAACATTGTATGTGTTATTCCATACAATGATATCCTTTTTATATTTATAACATTATGAAGCTCTTGATTGAAGAGTTATCGTTTTTCATTAAGTCTTCCAACATCTTTCACCACCGAACAGCGTGTCTTACCCGAAGAGCCTTCGCTCCTGCGGCGAAAGTCGGGTCGTTCACCGTGTATTCTATGGTCTTCGCTAGAGAGATAAAAGAGGCTGGGACTTGTATGGCTTGAGTGAGTGGCAACTCGGCGTGAGCAGGGAAAGTTAACTGGATTTTGAACGCATCCTAAAATAATGAAGAACAGTTTCATTAGCTATGTTATTGTAATAGACTTGAGAAAATCCTTTGGCTATAGCTACTTATATTTGTCTGGTCTTACCAACCAATATTTCGTCTGCTTGCAGTCCGACTTCATCAGGGAATGAGGTTGTGATAGGTGTGACAACCTATCACCCCCTCGAGGGGTGAGGATCTGACCAACTAGCACACCAGAGGGGGTGATAGGTAAACTTAAATTTTGTGTACTACTTTGGAGGCCCCTGCGGCATCAGAGGGTACATTACATGCAAACTCATTGACAGCAGCAAGTTTAAGTTTGCCACGCCAACCACAGACGCGCAGGCAAGTCAGCCGACTTTTGTGGCCACTGAGGACCAAACGCGATACAGACATGCTTAGAGATTTAAGAATGACGCATCGGCTCTAAAACACAGGTTGGTATTATAATAGCTCTGGCAGTTCCAGGATTTTGCTAAGGAGGGCACATAGAGAGAAGCACTTTGCCTTTCCTCGCTCGGCAAATGTAAACCAGTAGACGTGGACAGGCCGGACAGCTTACTTTAATATGTAAAGGAAAGGAATAAAATATAACAAAATTGCTTGATTTTGCTTCGTTTCGCTTGATGTACCTTAATTTATGGAGGAGGATGCTTCCGCTGATAAGGGGGGGGGGGGGGGGGGGGGGGGGGGTTCGCTGTGTGCACTTCCACCTTATCCGCCATTGAAAGAGGAGATAATGCACGAACACACCTGACTCACAGACACCTTTGTAATGTTTGGAAGATATTGGGGTCTTTCGTCGTCTACAGTAAACTCCACGGAACCAGAGGCTGGTTTAATAAGCCTAGAAATAAAAAAGGAAGCCATTTTCATCAAAACCATACATTTCATCTTAAAACGTATTTGAGATCAAAATAAGCAATTTTGCATAATAGTGTTAATTATTAGCAACGATATTTAAATTTGATAGATCTATTATAAATCAATATACACCGGTTCGTTTTTTCTGAAAATTTACAATACACTCAAACCATTCTGAAAATAATATTCTGGCAATTTTACATTTTCTGATAGGTAGGTGAAATCAAATACGTATCTCCACGAAAAAAGCTTTAAAGTAGAGATATTCTTCTAGTGGATTTTACATAATGAAGTGTAAAATTCATAATTCTAACGTATGTAAAATTAAAATTTCAAATTAAATGAGATAGATTTCTGACATTCTGACGTCATCAGAGCATGGTATTAAGTAGGAGCCACCAGAGTTAGGAATTTAATATTCCATGGGAAACAAATAAGTGGTCTAGAGAGGCCAATTGGTTAAAATGTGGTTTAAGCCAAAATTTACTTCAACATCACCAAGTCGTTGGCACTATTCCAGGATTGCGGAACCTTCCCCGTAACAGAGATCACCTTAGCCTCTTCTGCTGTCAGTGAGTTGTACGGAGCGTACATCGCAAATGTCAAGTAGTTGTCTAGTACTGTGTCACGGATGAAGTCCGGGTTAAACAGGTTCCTCATTGGTGTGAATACGTTCCGAATGATGACGTCCTCTTGTGGGACAACCTAGATAAATTTATAGCCATAATAGTAATAGGATGCTTCAGACCACGTTCAGATTCAGACATCGTAACAGCTGGATCGATCCATCTCTGCTGGGGATTCTCGCTTAAGTCCATTCAGAGTAGTAAGCTTACCCCCTAGGAACTCGGGGAGGCGTGTCAGAAATTTAAGCTGAATACAGTGATTGTACTTAGGGTGAATCTCCCATAGAGTTGGATCGATCCAGCTCAGGCCTACCCAACTAACAGTCTCAGCACCAAATGATCCCGAATTCACCGGTAGGTCGGACCACACTACCCGTTTTCAAGGTGTGCGTCAGTACGCATTTCACAGTATCATACCCCGGAACAAATTTTTGAGATGAGATGCACTACTTTCCAACCCTGCTGAGAATCATCACTATCACATTGCGTACTAGGCAAGAGTGGTGTCGTGTCTGATACTTCGAAGCATGTACTGATACACACCTTGAAAACGGGTAGTGTGGTCCGATCTACTGGTGAATTCAGGATCATTCGGTGCCGAGTCTGGCAGTTGGGTATTGCAGCTAGTACGATGGTTTGTCTAAACGCTCCCTTTGAGACAACTTACTGTAGTTTCCAATGGTTATTTTTGATAGTCAACGATAGAATTTTAACTCCGCCATCGAAGGAGTTCATGTTTTCATGGACCTAGTTTCTTTGTGGTAATATCATCTTAAACAAGCTTTTCATAAATTGTAATGAAATGTTCATGGTACATGTAAGAGCCGATAAAAATCTGCACTGCATCGGGGTGTTTCTTTATTTTCAAAATGATTTTTATTGCCTTGCACGCATGAAGGTCTTCGATCAAGATTTGTGTACATCGTGTAACAAATATGATTTATTGTATAATCTGGCAGATTTTCCATTCCTGGCGCTTCCTTCAAACTAGGCTTCTTACGTTTATTTAAAAGTGTTGCCATAATCATATACACATAGTAGGCCTTTAAGTTCATCTGACGAACATGGCAACATTTTCAATCTTGGAATTGGACCGGTATTTGGGAACGGTAGTAAGAGAACTAGAAATCGCTAGAATCACTTACTCTAAGCTCAATTTCAAAAAGAATCCCAAGAAGCCCAAGGTTGCATCTTAACGCTCTCATAATATCGATGTCTGTGTCTTGGCTGAACTCTCTGACGTCCCCCCATCCATCAACCAGCCGCGCTCTCGTCATGAAGCCACCAATGGATGGTGCATTACTGATAGCATTCTATGTGAAGAGATGAAAAATGGATCCGAGGCCAATGAAAATATTAAAATATTGTATCATGACAAAGAATTGTTCGTGAAATATACTACGTGTACCTGGTGACCCAATTGGAGGTCAGCACTGGAGTCAGTTTACTGATCACCTCTTACACACACACCATTTGGGCTTGGCCATGTGGTCTACATGGGTCCCACTAAACCGGCAAGTGGGCAAAAGTTAATAATAATAATAATTTATTTTTCTATGGCGCATTCCATTAAAAATCTCAATGCGCCTTACAACATTCACTTAAAAGAGCTAAATAACACAATACTAATATAAGAACACATTACAATTTTAAAGGACTAAGAACTAATTTAAAGAACCAATTATTCATATTCTAAAATGATAAGAAACTAAAGTGACAACATTTAAAATTAATCATAAAATTACAGTACACCTTATTAAAAACTAAAATTAACTATATGATAGTTACTGATAGGCTATTCTAAAAATAT